TTTCTTTTGCAACAAGTATAGACAATGATGAAGTAATAAGTAGTGATGAAGAATTTGAAATAAATTATAAATTAATTATCAAAACTGCAGAAGGAATTTCTATACCAGCAAAATGGTTTAAAGAATCAGTGTCAACTATAGATGAATTTCTTTTATTGATTCATAAGAAAACCATTATACTAACAAAGGATAATACCCTTTTACCAACTGATTATAATGTAGCATTTAAAGTACCAAAAGAAACCGGTGCTGGTACTCAATTATCTGATGGCCAAGATTTTATAAAATTTAAAACCAAATGTCTAAAATTAGCTGCAAAAAAACAGTAATATGGGGATTTATATAACAATTGTGCAAACAACTTCTCAAACAAAGCAAAAGAAGGTAATTTAGCACTGTTTTCAAAATTCTGTGTTTCTACACAATTAGTGCCTAATTGTGAGATTGATTACAAAATCGGCTATTGTATAGTTACACAGAATTTTGAAAATGGTAATTAGAGTTACTAAAAATAAAATCATGTTAACCATATATATCAAATAATATAATTTCAAAATTATACGTACATACGTAGAATGCTGACAATAATGAAGAAAAAGAATCTTCTGCAAATTATAAAAATAGTAATAAGGTCCTACATATTTCTTCCTTATTTCTACACGATAAAAAAATTGCTGAGAATGTATTGGAAATTCGAAGAGAGTATTATTGCAATATACACAACTAACCTTGTCTAAACAAAGAAAGCAATAAGGATTTACATATTGAAATTACTTTTATAATGCTTTCAATATGGTATTGGATATGGTAAATTCTATTAACACAAAAAATAAATTACATACAGAATTATATATGATTTTATGCAGTATTTACATACATATATATATATAGAATAAAGAGTTGGCTATGACTAAAGACCTCCTGACACATCCCTTTTTTCTCATACCAAGATATCAAAAAAATTACATTCTTCTCCATTATCTTCTTTACAAGAACTATTATCATCATTGCAAGAACCTACAGCTCCATTATCTTTATTGCAAAAGCTAACAGCTTTATTCTCATCATTGCAAGCACCAACAACATCATTGTTATCATCACAAACTCTATTAGTTCTAT